GTCCAGGTAGCTTTCCATATATACGAACCCCACGGAAACAGATTCCATGCATTTAGGTCCTCTACCAATAATATTAGCTCCTGAGGAATAGGTTGTCTGCCCTCTCTGCCTAAAAAGCAGGCATATAAAAGTAGTAGAAGGCATACTCGGACAACATCGACGTCATTCATCCGAGTAAAACCATCTTTCTTATTAAACAATTTCTTCATGTCGTCGACGTGTAAGTTCGGTTTCTCTATTGACTCATCAGGAAAAACCCTGGATAACCATGATGGGCGGGTGATATGACGAGTGTACCGGCCTACATCATCGTGTCCGAATCGTAGACCAGTGATTAAGCAGAACTCCTTCCGCCCAAAACAAGTATACGCCGGTGGAAAATGAAACCATATCTCTTCCTCACCACGTTGTATACTGTCGGGTAGATCGCTAGTCATGGTCTGAAGCCACAAATGGGTCAAACTAGCATCTCCACCCGGATGTTGTACTCTCAGCCATGGCCCGAAGCAGGTTTCTTCAAACAATTTTCTTTGTGCAGGTGAAAGCTTCGAAGCAATTGTAGTAGCTAGGCTAACTTTATTCCTTAATGTCAATGAAGCCGAAAAAAATTTCTACAAAAAAACAATAAACATACCAAGTTAGATATACCAAAAACTACACTGTCAAGATATACCAAAAACAAAACAATAAACATAAATAGTAGTTTATTCTTGAAACTAAAATTTGCAACACTGTTTTTGTCTTTTGGTTGAAATGAAAATCGCAACGAGATAATGAGAATCGCAACGCGGAAATGACTATCGCAACGATAGAATCACAACGAGAGAATCGCAACGCGAAATGACTATCGCGACCAGACAATCGCAACGCGAAATGAAAATCGCAACTGCGAAATAAAAATCGCAACGCGAAATGAAAATCGCAACGCGAAATGAAAATCGCAATGCGATTTTTGTTTGCGTTGCGTTTTTTATTTCGCATTGCGATTCTCTTGTTGCGATAGTTATTTCCGCGTTACGATTTTCATTCTCGAAACTATTCTTCTTCTGCATTACTTCAACCAAAAGACAAAACAAAGACAAATACTAACTTCACAGGCTAAACAGTTTAGCAGTATTGACAGCAATCGAATGAATTTAATAAGAAATCTAAGTGAAATGGTTAATCTATTATTGAAATTACCAGTAAACTTATCATCAATCTCAATATGAAAAACCTAAAATAATGCAAAAATTTCAAAATAAAAATAAAAAAAAACTAACCCTCGGAGGTTGATTTTCCATTTCTGAATGATTGTGAGGGATTTTTGACTGTGAATGGTTGTGAGGGATTTCGCCGGCGATGGGGATGGAAATCTTCGGAGATGGGGACGGATTTCGCCGTAGAGAGTGAGAGATGGAGATGGGACTGAGTGTTGTGATTTTGGGTTTGAGGTTATGAGTTGCGATTACTATGGACGGTTCAGTTTCCGATTTATTAAGAAAAAATTCGTGTTTGGAATTTGAAAAAAAATACGCGTTAATACGAATGGCGCTATGTAAATCGCGTTGCGAAAGTCAGAATCGCGTTGCGAAAGTCAATATCTCGTTGCGATTTTGTATTATCGCATTGCGATAGTAAGTATCGCATTGCGATAGTCAGTATCGCATTGCGATTTTCCCAATTCGCGTTGCGATTTACTTATTCGCATTACGAATTGGGAAAATCGCAACGACACTGTATACCATCGCAACGCGATTTCCAACTATCGCAACGCGAATTTGCGATAATGGAGATCGCGTTGCGAATTAGCGATCGCATTGTGATTTTGTTGGTCATTTTGGCAAATCCGGAAAAAGTTGGTTAAAATCGTATATTATATGAGATTTTTAGTCACTGAGGTTATTTTCTCTTTATTAAATATATTCTCGTGAGATTGTTGATGTGAAGCGTGGAAAATAGAAATTAGAGAAAAAAATATATCAATATTATCGTTAATCTTTTGACGATCGATGATTAAAATAAAAAAATACGATGACTACGATAATTTTATTAAAACCCCGTTTTGTGATCCAAGTACAAAAAGGATACTAATTGAATGACCAATATGATAGTTATGAATATTGTATGAATTGCAAAGGAATCTGCCATGAAGTTTGACTGGAAAAACAATAATACAATATCGCACTTGAAAGAATTCATTTTATTTAACTTGAAAAAATATATTAAATTAAAATAAATTTAATCGAGAATGATGAGACATGTCATTGATGATGACATGTGACACAATTCGATTGGATGAGTGAATTTATTTTAATTTATAAAAATATGATTAAATTGAAAGGATATATAAACAATAAGGGCCATATGTTGAATTATACCAAAATATTTAACTGTCACATCAGTATTTTCGTCAACTGATAACAACTGATGGCTTGATTGACTACAATTAAATAATTAGGTAGTCTGATTGACAAAATTAAAAGATCAATGACAAAAATAAAAAGGATAAATAGTTAAATGGTCAATGATATAATTTACCTTACAATTAATCATTTAAATGATGTTAATCAAATTATTTATCTATGATATTTGATGGATAAGTTGACGTGGAAGTTTAAAATATTAATATAATTATATATTTGGTCCTTATTATTTATATATTTTATCATTTTAATTTAATTTAATAAATTTAATCTTTTAATTAAATACACGATTACACTAGTAAACTTGGGGTTTAAAGAGCACTTCACTCTAATGATTGGTCCAAATTGAATTAAACTAAAATTAAGACCAAAATGATAAAATGTGTAAGTATTTAACTAAATATATAATTATACTAATTTTGTTAAATATTATATTACATAAAGATGATGACGTTACACACCGTATAAAGACGGGATGGCTAAAGTGGAGGTCTGCTACTGGAGTTTTATGTGACAAGAAGGTACCTCTAAAACTTAAGGGAAAATTTTATAGAATGACAATTAGACCAGCACTACTGTATATATACATAATGTTGGGCAATTAAGAAGGATCACGTAAGGAGGATGGAGACCGCAGAAATAAGAATGCTTCGATGGATATGTGGTAGGACTCTGTGGGACATGACACCAAACTATGCAATTAGGATGTCCTTGGGGGTGGTGCTTATATCCGAAAAATTGAGGGAGGGAAGACTAAGGTGGTTTGGGCATGTCCTTAGGCGAAAACCGTCGAATGCGGTCAGGATGGTAGAGTCGATTACAGCCGATAGTGCCAGAAGGAGAGGACGACCAATAAGGAAGTGGGTAGACTGCTTGAGATCTGATTTGAAGGATTTAGCCCTTACCGAGGACATGACCTCTGATAGGAAAGTATGGAGTCTTAAGACCAGGGTAGTCAAGTAGTGTACGTCACAACTATAGGGTGTAACATCTCTGTTTTCTTTTTAATTGCCTTTGTTGTAATTTCCATTACCTCTACCTTTTATACGTTATGTCATTGGAATTTATGAAGGCTTATAACTAGGGTAGCGGAGTAGTGTTGCCTTAGTTTAGGTTTTAACCCAGTTGACTTTATTCCTTCACGTAGATTGCTATCGCTGACTTGTGTGTATCATTATCTTCATGTTTCCTCTTTTTAAAATTAGTCTGGACTTACGTTTCTGTCGATAGGCAGTTTTTTTTCGCAGGGATTTATTTGCAGAGATTACTTCCCTTTACAAACGCGCATATGAAGACGACATATGAAGACTGTTCAACTATGTATTTATTTATTTATACATGCATTGTATTTTATCTTTATTTTTAATTTGTTCGACTGCCGGAGGTCTTCCACGGAAGCGGCTCTCAACCGGGCGTTGGAGGCAACCTACCTCCCCCTTACCCATTGCATATGGGAATATGATTTTGTTGTTGTTATTGTTGTTGTTGTTAAATATCATATCATTTCATTTCATTATGTCAAATATTATCATTTATAAATTAAATAATTTAATTAATAGAATTAAACAAAAATAAATGGTTAACTTAAAATTTCTCATATCTATCGGACACAATTATAATTTATCCGAATATATATATATAATATTAATATGCAAATTGTTTTTGCAAATTCATTTAGTCAATACATAAGGGGGAAAACAACTCAATTCAATTTGAATAAAAATAATTAAAAATTTTAAATATAAAATCAATCCGATCCGACGGATCACCGAATCTACGGCCCACCATAAACAGGTGTAGCCCATAAAACACTAGTGGAAACGGAAAAAGATCACCCAATTGTAATGATGCTTTAAAAAGTAGGGTAAATTACATGTTTAGTACTTAAACTATTAATTTTGACTATTTTAATACGTAAACTTTTAATTTTTCAAAACCACATCTAAAGTTTATTTTTGTTTCATTGTAGCACCCCCACTGTTAAAAACTTAACGAACGAGCTGACGGGACATAACTCCATAGGATAAACGACCAATCCGAACGGTGAACCACGAGAGAATGACGAGTTGACCAACATAGTCCAATTTCAGGCCCATCATATGGTTGATGATGGAGATCAGAGGATGAAGAAGTCAAAGAGTCCATCATCGATTTGGAGAGATTGAGGTATTTTCTGGTGAAAAGAAGGATGAAATCACCTTCAAGGGATCGAAAAGGTGCGAGTTGGAAAGTTTGGGCTTCATTGGTTGACAAATGCGACAGCTGACGACTATAGATGCGACAGCCAGCAAACCCGTCTATTAAGTTTTTAATAGCGGGTACTAAAATGAAACAAAAACTAAACACTAGGTATGATTTTGAAAAAAATAAAAGTTTAAGTACTAAAACGGACCAAAACTGATAGTTTAGATACTAATCGCATAATTTACCCTAAACAGTAACACAAATTATGGAAGACCAAACCGAGTCCATGGCCGCAACAAACTCACCAAAACATGTTTAAAAGAACCCAACCACCAACTCATCCAATTAACATTTCATTGCACAAGCACAATTGATTAAAACCAAACCAAAACAAAAAGGTTGTAGCAAAACATGGATTCGGAGAAACCTGCCATGCTGATAGCCGTGGACGATAGTGCACACAGCATGTACGCCCTCGAATGGACCCTCGATCACTTCTTCGTACCCTTCGGATCCCTCCAACCGTTCCGACTCATCGCCATCCACGCCCGACCCATCCCCATATCGATCCTTCAACTCGCCGGACCGGGTAATCACGCACAACTTTTTCTCGATCAAATTTATATAGGTCACACTCGAACTCTGACATTCAACGTAACTTTATGATAGCAGCAACTGCAGAGATCATACCGATGATGGAGGTCGATCTAAAGAAGACGGCCGCCAGGATCACCGAGAAAGTGAAGGAGTTATGCAAGAAAAAATCAGTAATCTTGATCGTTTTTCGACCAATAATAAATCGAATACATTATCATAAAATCTTATTAAATTTTAAAAAAATGTTGTCGTGAAGGTGAACGAGGTTGATGTCGAAGTAATGGAAGGTGATCCGAGAAATGCGCTATGTGAAGCTGTTGACAAATACCATGCAAAGATATTGGTAGTAGGAAGCCATGGATACGGTCCTATGAAGAGGTACGTATGAATAATAAAACTCTTCGTCGTATATATCACAAACCTCACGATTCGAACCCGTCGGTTTGCAATTATGTAACTAAGAATTAATCAATCATGCAGGGCTGTTTTGGGCAGCGTGAGTGATTACTGTGCTCACCATGCTCACTGTTCTGTGATGATTGTGAAGAAGCCCAAGACCTAAAAAGCTGCAGATCAAGACCAGAGATTTTGATGTCGGACCATTGTTCTTAGTTTCAACACTTTCTTATGAAGAAGCATCGTAATGGGACTTTTACTTTTACTACTCTTTCGTATCGAGTTTTTGTAATTATTTTCAATTTTATTCAAATAAATAATTAGTTTCGATCATATTTTAATTTTTCAAACATATATAATAAGACTTTTATTAACTTGGATGTGATTAACATATATTTATAATTTAGGATGAAATCGAAATATTAAAAATTTAAGAACTTATTTTAAACGAAAAGTCATAATTTAAGAATAAAATTAAAACGTTCAAAAATTTAAGAATCAATTTAAAATAAGAATCATAGTTTGAAGAAGTGTATTCCTTTACCTTAAATTAATAAACTTGATCATTAAAGAAGTTGAAACTTAAGCTATGTATAAAAATGTGTTATTCTTTTTAATGGGTAAAGTACACATATGGTCTCCCAACTATAAGGTATTGCTTTATTGAGTCATTCTACTATTAAAAATCAAAGAGTCCCCCTACTATACGATGTTACTTTTTTAAGTTCATTGACTATTAAAAGTTACAAAATGATCCCCTACTATACGATGTTACTTTTTTAAGTGCCTTGACTATTAAAAGTTACAAAATGGTCCCCCTACTATACGATGTTACTTTTTTAAGTCCCTTGACTATTAAAAGTTACAAAATGGTCCCCTACTATACGATGTTACTTTTTTAAGTACCTTGACTATTAAAAGTTACAAAATGATCCCCCACTATACGATGTTACTTTTTTAAGTACCTTGACTATTAAAAGTCACAAAATGGTCACCCGACTATTCTTTGTGTTCTAAACTCATCATTTTCCGTTAAAAAAATTGATGGTTGTTTGAGTTGGATGTTAACCTGTTGAGTGAGATATGATATAATATTAACCCAAAATATCAAACGACTATCATATCTTATTCAGCAGGTTAACGTTTAGCTCAAACTTAGCGTCATATAGTTAGTGGATCATTTTATAACTTTTAATAGTCATAGGACTCAATATATCAAGAATGTAATACCCCAAATTTTGGTTATTAACCAAAAAATAAATTTCAAAGTTTAGTAACCAAAGTAGAAAGTTGGAAAAGTTTAGGGACCAAAAGAGTATTTTTTAAACGTTAGGTATTTTGAACCCGTAAATGAATAGTTCAACCCCAAGAATGACATTTTCGTGGGAATCAAAATTTTGATCCGTAATTTGTGTTAAAAGCTATAAAGCAGTAAAATCCGAAAGAAAATCGGATAATCGGATCGGACCAGAATTTTACGAAAATTTGAAGGATGATAGATAAAGGTTGGAAATATTATTTTCAAATTTTATAACAATGAAATTTAATGTGGATAAATTGAATTGAAGTCGATTTTACATATTTAGCTAAAATTGAAAATTTTAATTACTAAATAATAGTTTTTGAAAATTTGCAAGGGCAAAGGTGGAAAGTTGATTTTTATTTGTTCATATTTTACTTTAGAATATAAAATGGGATAATAATGAAATGGAAAGTTGAAATTATCATGTTTCATTAAGGGTAAAATGGTAATTTCACTTTAAATGAATTTTAAATTCATTTATATTAGATTAAGCCAAGTGTATTATGTTTTAATTGAAAAAAAAAAATCAGAAATTTTCAGTTTCTTTCAGCCCAAAACGTGCACCACCATATATACAAGGTAATAATTTTTTTTATTATTTTTAAACTTATTCGATTGATTTTTGGATTAAACTATTACATAGAGAATTAATCCCCTTGAAATTCTCTATCATTTGATATAAATATTACATGGAGATCATGCTAATATGATGAGTTTGGAAATTAGGATTTATGTAGGATTTGATTGAAGATTTTTATTTTTTTATGTTGAATATTAATTCTAAAGCTTGTATGATGATTAAAACTACTTGAAACTGGGTGAAATTTCATTTGGCAATAACCTAGGGTTTCAAGAAAATTGTGATTTGGTTAAATTATGTTAGGACTTTGATTGTAAAAGTCTTGAAATGTTTTTTAGAGGTGGAATCCATGCTTGAATCAAGTGAAAATTAAGAACCCTAACTACTATGTTATTCGGCCCTAAGGAATTAATTGGGGGAAAATTATGAAAATTTTCCCTAGGCTTAGAAATGATGTTTGAAAGGTTCTACAAGTTTTAAAAAGTTATTTGGGCCATTTTGTAATATTATGAAAGTTGGGAGACTATTCAGAAATAATGGAAATTATGAGGTTTATGTGAAAATGCTAGAAAGATGATGTACTATGTTGGAATTGAAAGTTAGAATATTGAAATTGATGTTAGAATGTGAAATTTTACTATTTTGGAAAGTTGGCAAAGTTTGAGTACTAAATGGAAAATATTGAGAATGTTAATGACTTAAGTGGTAATAGTGGAGTTGTTGAGGTATTGAGCTGAAAATTAGATGCTTGAAATTTAATTAAGTTGTTTGAAACTTGAATTGAAGATAAAAGACAAATGGCTCTTTGGAATAAAATTGAAAGTTGATATGAATTCTAAAAGAATTCAATAAATGGTAGTTAAAATGGAAAGTTTAAAAATGTTATGTGAAGTTTGAGTGAATTTGGATAAAAAGGGATTTATTGGTCAATTTGAAGTATTAAGGTCAACATTGATGATGTGATATGAAATTCGTATCGAATAAGCATCGAAAGGTTTCTAGGAATTTATTTTCTATTGTGTTCCTATGTTAGTAAGATTCTAACATATGGTTTGAAATGTATATGTTATGTAAATGGTGTTCATTTAGATTATGATTGAAATCAAGATCAAACAATGTTAAAGCTAAGGAGAAGCTTAAGGACGTAATATGAAGTGCTAGAAAGGTTTACAAGCTAAGGACACTATGTGAGTGCATATTTAATTCATATTTGTATTATCGAGCAAAAATTGGCTTGCGATGAGCCACTGAAGGAATTATTATGGTAAGAAGTAACTTCTAACTATTATGTGAATTGTGATTCATACATATATGTTAAGTTAATATGCTAATAGAATTAGTGAATAAGTTGAAAATATAAGTTAGTGAAATATGCCCATATTTGTGTTCTGAACAGTAAGTTTAGAAAATCATTATAAATTATACAAAAATGATTAGAGGAAATTTTTTTACACCATTGGATTTGTATGTCAGTATAGTTTCGTTTAAAACAAAAGGATACTGATTTTGATAAGTATAAAAAAATATATGAATTTTTAATTGAGGATAGGTCAGAAAGCAGGACAACATATTTTGCTCAAAACTGCTTCTGTAGGTCAACTTTGAAATTTCACTATAAATTGTATAAGATGAACCAGAAAAAGTTTCTTATATAGTTAGATTCGTATTCGAGTCTAGTTTCTATTGGTATAAATAGAATAATTTTTAAGTGTTTATTTTAATACAAAATAATATTTTTTTGCAAGCATTGCATACTGTCAACATATAAAACTTGTCATAAATTATGTTTTCATGTTACTCCTATGTTATAGGTTATTATAAATGCTCGAAATAAGTTAAATTTATTAAAATTTGTATGACAGTTATGATATTTATTACATGATGAATATGATGTTTATATGTTAAAGAAATATAATTGACGATGATTATGATATATAAATGATATGTTGAAATGAAATGTTTAGGGTATGAACTACCCATTATGTTATGATATGAAGAGTTGGATATGTTGATATATTGATATCTTTGATAATTGAATAATATATAATAATTAATGAAAAAGCCCATTATATGTTGCATTGAGAGTCGTAGGTACATTTGTCATGCCATTAAATTGAGTCATTTCCAGTTAAATTATGGTACATTCGTGTGCATTATGATCTGCACCATTGATGTTCATGTTATGATTGCACTTGGAGTGCATTATATGTTTCAGTTAAGATTGGCACCGTGGTGTGCCCTGTACACACCTTATGTTTTACTCACGTACCTTTCATTCTCATAAATATGCATTGGGCTATGAATTTGAAAATAAACTATGAATATGACAGTAAGCTATGCAAATCTGTGTAAGTATAAGCAAACATGTGTAAATGTGTGTGTTATGGCACACAAATTTGTGTAAGTGTACACAATCGATGCAAGTAATATAGTAGTGAGTGAGTATCATCTCCACAGGGATTGGGGGAATTCTTTAAAGATTTATACAACTGGGAATAAACGTCACTAACTAGTCATAATCTAAATCTAATGATATAAATAAATTAGAAATGTGATATGGCAGATGGTATAAACAGATGGAAAAAGTTTGTTGAGGCAAGAAATGTTTGAAGTGAAGTGAGCAGATAAATTTTGTCATGGCAAGAAAAATATGCAAGAGTAAACAAATAAAAATTGCTAAGGTAAAAATTAATTGCAAGAATAAGTAAATTAAACTTTCTAAAGCAAAAAATGTTTGAGTTCTAAATATAGACTAGCAACCTCACACAATCAGACTTCTAATGGAGCACTTGGGTTAGATTTGCTATGGTGAGAAATTATTCTATGTCTAGGATGAACTAAGTATGTTATGCTTATGTTGTCCAACAGGATTTACTAAAGTGTTCCTAAGTTATCTCTAGTAAGGAACTTGATACAAGAATTGTCACGACAATACCTCTCAGCTTAAATAGTGACCCTAGCATATCGATTAAGTGTTATCCCTTTTAGTCGCTTAAAACCCTCTCCTTATCTCTAAGGCGGATTAGAACCTCACCATCATGGATTAGCTCCCTTGTTCACGTAGATTTAACCTAACTCTCTCTATATTAGGTATCAACCCCTAGAAAAATGACTTTCTCAACAGCTCTTACTGTAACATCCCAAAATATGGGTTAGTGACTAAATTGTAAAACTTCAAAATTTGGTGACTAAAGCAGAATAATTGAATAATATTGTAATTTGGTATAGGATTAATTTGTAAGGAAGAAAGAATAGAAGGACAAAATGGTCATTTGCAAGGAAAATAATTATTTGGTTATATAGATATG